GGCGGGATGGAACGGGGATCTCAATCCCCATCCCTCTTCGATTCTTTATTTCATTAAATATTATATGAAACAATTTCACAACCATATATGAAACAACTTCATCAAAAAAAATATTATATGAAACAATTTCACAAAATTAAACAATTTCATGAAAAAATTTCATAAGATTAAACAATGAAATCGACAGATGAAGGTGGTTTGCACAGTTTACACAAATGAGTACGGTTTTCATATGATCACTCCTCTATATATATATATATATATATATAAAGTCTATTTAGGCATGGGAATCGGGCGGGATGGAACGGGGATCTCAATCCCCATCCCTCTTCGATTCCTTATCTCTATTCTCATTCTCGTTTCTATTCTCTTCGGGGAATATAATCACATCCTCATTCCCATCTCTAATAGGGAACGAGAATCCCCAACAGAGAAACGGAGATTTTTTTCCGTTTATGTAAATTATTTTAAATTAAATATGTGATAGATCATATATATGTTTAAATTTCAAACATTTTTAATAAACTTACAACCAAAATGAATTTAATACAAAAAAATCACAACATCATAAAGATTTGACAACAAACACCGACACCGTGTTAATAAAGATTCCGGGTTTTAACTTCAACTTGATGCAAAGCAAATCCGCAAGTGTCTAGTTAACGATGGTTGTAAACATCTGGTTAAACTCGTGAACACGACTAGACGTTCAACCTCCCTGGATCACAATAACGGGCTCACAAGAAAACTTTCATTAGGAACTTTTGCGTTATGTTACATGTATGCCGATCTCACCTTATTACATAAAGGGACGTTAACATTTGACAACAAACACCGACACCGTGTTAATATGTTCCTAAAACAAACCCTCGAGAAGAAACAATTACCGTGCATATATGCAAGTAGTTTCCTTTGAAAATGCATCGATCACCGGAGTTCTTTCCTCATTTCTTCCTTGGAGAGTAAGCTACGTGGCTCGAGATCGGCTTTAACCGGGAAATTTCTGGATTAGGCCCGGAAGTCTATGCATTATGTTTTCGAACGATGGACGAAGTGCGGGGTTGCTGTGTAAATTTACAATAAAAAAATATATAAATCGAGTCTCATCTCGAAACAACTATATATGCTAGCAATTGGATGGATTCTGTATATAACTAGGAGGTTCAAATGGAAACAACAAAATAGTTGGAAACGTGGAAACAGATCTCAACGGTTATATAGATTTTGATCAAGTGATGTGATTAAATATGTGACTAAATTTTATTTTCATCGCTATTGAAATTGCACATCGGCTAGACTTGGACCATTTTTCCTGTATATATGTTGGAACCTCCTCTTTCTCCTTAAAGTTCTTTGGAGCATGATCTTAGGGTTCCACATATTCTCACATGGTATTAGAACAAATGTCCGCCACTCCGTGGACCCGACACTTTGGCTAGCCCCTCTTGACACTCCATAGGACAATCTGTGTCTATCTAGCCTCTATTGGAGGGGGTGTGTTGAAGTTATCCTCAAGGAATTGAAAAAAATCAGTCATTCACAACCACTGATGAAGGATTCCTCGAACTCCAAAAAGATCTATTCCTTACTCAAGTTTCCAGTGAAGACCAAGCAAAACTCTTTTGGAGAATGATCTTGGGTTCCACATATTCTCACACAGTATCAAAGCCAAGGTCTGCTACTCCAGGGACCATTCTGGCTAGCTCCCTCTCAACACTCGGGACAATTTGTGTCTATCTAGCCTCCATTGGAGGGGGTGTGTTGAAGTTCTACTCAAGGACTCTTTTGGAAAGTGATCTTGGGGTTCCACATTCTCACACGATATCAAAGCCAATTTCTGTCCATCTAACCTCTATTGGAGGGAACGTGTTGAAGTTCTCCTCAGGGCTCTTTTGGAGTGATCTTGGGGTTCCACATATTCTAACAAAAACTACCCTTTTCTAATCGAAAATAGGAGAAATATAATTAAAATTGGAGCCAAACAAACTCTACTAAAAAAAGAGCAGACTTCTTTATTTTTCTACTTTCTCGTTCGTTTTTTCGTGTTTCCACCCTTTTTGTTTCCATTTGAACCCCCTCAAATTTGGTTGTAGAAATTGAAGTATATGATTAATAGATCTTTTTGATGAAGTGATGCATGAAAACTCATAATTACTTTATATATTGAGAAAAAAGGGAGAAACTATAAATGTGGATCACCTTTGCCAACAATCTTGGATAATAGAGGAGAGAGCTGGGTCTATGTCGTCCGGTAAGTCCAGCCGGCGGTCCATGAAACCCACAACTCCGACGACCTTCAAACATCAACAAGTATAACTTTATAAACAAAAAACGTTACAAGTATGGTTGATTTTATAACCGTAAGGTTATGGGTTCCAATCATAGAAACAGCTTCTTTGCAGTTTGAGGAAAAACTGTGTATGAAGACTCGCTACTATGTTTGTTCGAGTCCCATATCGGCTAAACACGGACCATCAAACATGTATATATGTAGCAAGATCCTGTTTTTTTGTAAGGTTCTTTTATCGATAGAATCAAAAGGTTTTCATAAATATGAAATATCCTTGCACCATCGAATTCTATGGGCAAAATGCAAGAAAAGTTTGGTTTTATTCCTATTTACTATAACAAATAATGTTTTTTTTTCTCAATTGGTGTAAATAAAGTCGAAATTTATTATTATATACCAATTTGACCGGACAGGTTCATACGAGAACCGTAACTAAGTAACCAAAGAATTGGTTGAATCACGTTACACTAAAATCACATGTGATTCACATGGCTTTAGCCACGACCAGAGGTCGCATTGCAGGCCACGTCACCCGCACGCCCTTGTATTGAACGTTGGTATAAAATCACATTTGATTTTGCACGTCATTTGGTCGTTTTCGTGTTCTTTTATTTTGTTATTGTTGTTGTTTGAACCTCCCTCTTGACCGGTAACCTGTTGATCCTGTAATATAGATTATCGCTACACTAACTAGGAACTAAGATAAACTTTGTTGCATTTTGCCCAGACTTTATTTATGGTAGTTTTGTAGGTTCCATCGTTATTTATCCTCACACCAAGCAAGTGAAAATTGGAGTCGGATATTAATTTCTTCTAACAGCATATAACTACGACCCCAAGCAGTGACGGATCCATGATTTATAAGCTGGTAACGCACCAACGTAACAATTTTGTTCTGGGAGATGTAGTGATTTACTATGATGACAGTTTTTCTATTTGTAAACATGGAGGTACCTGTAGCGGATTCATATTGCTCCAAGGGACGGATTGCGTGACTAGTTCCCATAGAATGATACCGAAACTGTACACGTCCGACCTGCCCACAACAGAACAATTACTTCTATTAGCATACTGTAGAGCAAAAGTTAGGTTCTGTTCATTAGCAGCTTAATGGGACGCGCATCTTATTTGGTCAGCTATACATGACTCTTTGGTAGTGGCTTAATAATATAGAAAGTGGCTTATTCAGTAATATTCTAGGAGGGAGCTTTATGTAGAAAGACAAGTTTTTTTACAAATATTTCCCTCCCAATTAAAAACACTCTTCTCGTGTCTATTAGAAAACCCTTCCAAACAAAAACTTTTCCAATCTATACAAACAGTCCACACAGACAGTTTTATCCATACAGAACTTAATGGAAAACCAACCAAACAGCCCTTTAGCGCGTTATCTAGAACACAAAGTAGTCATCAAGTCTTGAAGTTAGTTCGTTATCTAGGAATTCATCTACTCGAATGACTAATTCTAGGATGGTAAACAGAACTCACTTCTCATTTGAAGGTTCGTTACGGAGAACTTCAGGTGCCATCCACTGAGGCTGCAGAAGATATTAAATGAAAACATTCATATACGTATACAAAACGTTGTACAACAATAAATAAAACTCCCCCTCCGTCCCAAAATAAGTGTCCGTTTTCAAAAGTAAGACCTACTTTCCAATTCTACCCTTAATTATGATACAGAGAACTTCATTACTCTCTCTCGTATATCATCTAGTTAATTAAAAAGTACAATAACTACACATTTTTAAAATTGTGTGCCTTTTTTTATTGTGGACGTCTATTTTGGGATGGATAGAATTCCAAAGTCAAAGCTCAATTGAGAAAATAATAGAAGTGAAGATCTTTACTGTCCCTCTCCCCGATCTAGCTGTTAAAAAGGTTGCATGCTTCAACTTTGAGAGACCAAAATCTCCAACCTGATGACAAGCTAAAAATAGATTAAGTGATGACAAGAAAAATCATAACGATATGAGTTTGTTCGAAAGAAGGTACTCACGGAAACACTACCTTCACAGACCAGTTCTTGTCGACAAGAAGGTTTGACGACTTGAGGTCTCTGTGTATTATTGGCGGATTTCTGTGGTGCAAATAGTTCATACCTCTTGCCTGCAGCCAGAAAAAGATTGGTCTTTTTATATTACATCAATGGCAAAAGGTGATTGGCCGGCAGAGCCCAGCCTCCGAGGTCAAGGGTTTTGAACCAGTGGCGGACCTAATAAGTGCCGAGCGGGTCCTGTGCACCAACTCAACTTATTTCCATAAGTAGATGTTTTTTGGAGGTATAAAAGGTGGCTCCAGGACATTAGAAAATACAAGCAAAATCAACCAAAAAAAACAGGAAAAAGTCCCTTAAAATCAACCAAAACTTAAACTCCCTAGAAATCAACCAAAAACTTAAAAAATCCTTCAATGCGGTGGAATTCGGTTAAAAATACATCGGACGACTTTGTGGGCCGTTGATCCACCTTAAAGGTGCAACCCTTTGACAAACAATCTTAGGTCCGCCACTGGTCACCAAAGATGAGGAGTGTGCGTAAATATTTGTCATGTATAAATATTATATACTTCAAAAAAAGGATGACAAAAGGTAGAAATGCACGGATCAACGAGAAGAAAGCTAATTGGTAGGCGAGAAAAAGAAAACTTACAACATCAGCAGCCATCCTTAGACGTCGCCTAATGTCTAAAGAATGACCACTGTTGTGAAGAACATTGAAAAGGCTTCCCCTGATCCAAAAAAATGAAGTAAACTGGTTACTTACTCCTTGAGCTAATTTGTTTACGTGCATAGTTAGGGATGTACATTTATTTGCTAATATGATGGCAGGTTTTAGTTTAGTAAAGACCTTCAATTTACCGAACCCAATATATCCCACTCGAAAGTAGGGTCTGGAAGGGGTGGAATTAATGTAGACCTATCCTCTACCATAAATTGTAGAGCAATTGTTTGCTTGAAGATAGTAAAGATCTTCAATTACGATGCTCAAAAAGCCACCGCCGCCGTACACAAACTTGACCTCTATCCCAAAAGGGTATAGTTGTTTTTCCCGTGAAGACCCCCGGCTTGTGCACGAGTATGAGCAAACAGACAACTACCATTCTTGTGAAAATGAGAAAAGCACACCATAATTTAATTTGCAAGAAGGAGCAATGTTGTAAACATAACTACATAAGTGCAAAAGAAACCCATTTACTTGGCACTTCTTTGCCCAAAATCTTTCATTCTTGCAAAGTATAGCGTTACTTTGCATTTCGTAAGAATGGCAGTTTGTTTCACAAAAAAATAAGTATGATGATTAAAAAATCCAGCAACTTGTTGACAAATACCTGGGTAGTAACTCTGTAACCATTGCAAGTTTGTCTTGTGAACATACGGACCCCATAAAAAGCAATACATTTGGATGGCGAAGTCTCTTCATTATATCGATCTGAGGTACAAGCATAAACCCATCAGAGATCATGTGCCACAAAGAGCTTTTTAGCTTGATGTTAGAGCATCTCCAACCATGTCAACAAAAGATCACCAAAAACACCAAATATGTTGGGCCATTAACACTAAAACCTCCAATCACACTATAAAAAACACCAAATTTATGGATCTCATAATAAAATAACATATTTTATTACTATTTTTAATTAATAACAATAACTATAATTTATAATAGATATTATAATAATAAATAATTAGTAATTAATTTATTTAATAAAGACCTGTTAAAATAAAACGACAAATTTTTAATTAATAAATTTCTAATTAAAAAAGATTACATTAATTCAAATAACACAAATTAAAAAAAAACACATAAATAATACTAATTGAAAAAGATTACATTATGTCTTTTAGTTTTTAAAATTTCCATTAAAAAACTACGTTTACGTTTATTCGGTATTATATTTGTATTATTAATAATTTACTCTATATATATATATATATATATATATATATATACATAATAAATATAAAAACCAAAAAGTAAATATTTGTATTATTTATTTATAATTTATTAAATAAAAGTAAATTGATTAAAGGGATGGTGGGTGGGTTGGGACCACGTTTTTGGTGTCCCAAAACATACACGGAAATGAAGGGCAAAACTACACTGAAATTGCCCTTCGATTGGAGCCGTGAAATCGGTAAATTTACAATTTTGCAGTTTGATTGGAGATGCTCTTGGTTCTACATACCTCTTTATTGTAGTCCTGCAAAGCCTTCTCGCTGTATTGATTACCAAAATAAACTTTAACCGCAACATCCTGATTGAAGGAGAAAATAGAAGATAATAAGGCTTAAAAATTACTAAATGTATTTATTCTTCACCATGAAATACAATTATGGAAAGCTTCCAAGTTCTGTAAGGATATACCGATCCATTCCAAATTCCACGGTATACCCGAGCAAATGACCCTGAAAAGGTAAGAAACCTATTAATATTTTCAGAAAAAAATAGAAATATAACTTAACACAAAAGTACTCATAGAACTTTAAATTTATAAGACCAATAACTGTGAGATCTACACAAAGGCGTTCCAATAAGTTGTTAGGATGAGGTTAGGCAGCCTAATAAGTTCTATCATGAAATTGGGCAACCTAACAAGTTCTATCAATGAAGTTGGACAATCTAACAAGACTCAAAAAGTAAATCGTCATATTAACCTTGACATTTCTGGAAAAAGTGCCCACTTTCATCAATATAACTTGATAGGTCGCCTAACTTATGTCTTAACAACTTACTATAACGCAACACCGTTGTATAAGACTCTCAGTTGTTCCTATAAATTTGAAGTCCCATTAAGTACTTTATTAGGACGTCCATGGACGGTTGGGCATCCTAAAATCCCCATTCTGTTGTAGTGTAAGATCCTCAGAGATGTCCTGTACATTACCATGGCCAATCTCTTCCTTGAAAACTAGATCTTCCCATCGAATTTCACAATCGACTATGGAGTTCAGGTCATTCTCAAGCTCCAATTCTCTTCTGGACATTTGGAAATTAGAAAGTGCCAATCTATCAACTGGTTTTGCTGCCTCAGAGCACTCGTTTTGCTCTCTCCTAAGAGCTTCAAAAGAAAAACCGTCTTCAATGATTTTGGAGAGTACTTGTTCATTTGCCTTTGCATGCCTTTTGGCATCGAAGAGAGAGTACGCTCTTTGAGATATCTCTGTTTCATAACCTTCAACATGAACACTGCGGCAGGGAGCTGCAGTGGCCGAACTTTGTTGATGATTTGACATGTTCACTGCATTGTGATTTTCTGAGACATTAGCAGAACCATCTTGTTGTATGTTTCCAGTCCTTTGGATGTTCAACTTTGACAAGACTTTCGCTGCCTACACGTTCCGTAATTGTTCCCAATGACAGTTCTCGTTACATGAATTACAATGATGTTCCATGTTAATTACTCCCTCCATCCCAAAACAAAATGTCCACAATGAAAAAGGCATATAGTTTTAGAACTTTTTAATAATTACACTTTTTAATTAACTAGATGACAATTCAACCCTTATTTACAGAGGGAGTAATGAATTTCTCCATCTCATAATTAAGGGTAGAATTGGAAAGTGGACACTTATTTTGGGACAAAACTAAATTAGAAATAGAAGGATACATACATAATTAGAAGGTTCAGAAAGTTCATCTTCTCCGGTGTCGGCACCAATGGTCTTCTTCCAGAGGCTAAAACCAAAACCACGCTTAACGGGCTGCAATAAAACAATCCCTTTAAAAATACTTGCATCTGTTGAAAGAGAATGACACACATACAAACCCAGTGTATCCCACATAGAGGTAGGGTATGGGGATGGGATGTACGCAAATCCTACCTCCTACTCTTCACACCCTACCTCTACCCCAAGGGGTAGAAAAGTTGTTTCCATGAAGACTCACTTGCAAAACAAGAAATGCAAGAATACAAGTGACAGAGGTAGCAGAGACTTGTGTGGAAAAAAACAAGTATACAACTAAAAGGGCATATAGTAAAAGCTACAATAACTAAAACAACTCTCTATCTAAGGAAGGGATCCCATAACCTGAATGATCTAACATCATAAATCCTACATCTTAGATGTTCGTTTTTGAAACTTCAGAGCAAACATCGTTCACAAGATGCCAGAACATACCAAAGGGTCATTGGCCCAGCGGTATACAAGTTTCCGGTAGAGCCTAACCTCCATGGAGGTCAAGGATTCAAGCCTTACATAAAGGTGAGGAGTATGTGTGTATGTGTGTTGCTGGATAAAATATTATATATTTCAAAAAAAGATGCCACAATATCTTCCAATAAATAGGAAATACATGGAGTTTTAAAGCCATTACCAAATTCATTTTTTGGACGCTTTTCCACAATTAAAATCAGCATATGACTTAAGACTTACAGGTGCCTTTGGAGGCTTCTCTAAATTTACATTTTCAGGCTCTAGGATGTTCTCCCCCATGTCCACAGAGGTGTCTTCTGTATGCCTATTATTTCCTCCACCTTTCCGCAAAATATCTTTTGAGGCCTGATTTGGTTCAAGAGACGAGCGTAAAAAGCTTGTTTTAAGAATTGAGCAAGAGAAAGCTTTGTGTTTTCCCCGTCCCAAAATAAATGTCCACGGTGAAAAAGACACGCAGCTCTATAAACATGTAACCATGACATTTTTGAATTAACTATACCCTCAATAATAGAGAGAGTAATGAATTTCTCCATCTCATAATTAAGGGTAGAAATGGAAATAAAGTAATTACTTTTGGAAGTGAGTAATGAATTTCTCCATCTTATAATTAAGGGTAGAAATGGAAAGTAAGTACTTACTTTTGAAAGTGAACACTTATTTTTGGACAAACTAAAATAGAACTGCAACACTTATTTTGGGACGGTTTAGATTATAAAAGAAGAGGTAAAACGTTAACAAGAGAAGCACCAGATTGGAAACAAAAGATGATAACTGCTGTGGTGGTTGCCATTGAATCTTCTTGAACTTTAACCCCCGTGTTTTAGTTTGGCCATTAGATGGATCCTCCTCGTATGATTTTGGATTTTCTGATTTAATTTTATTAAATATAGTCGCATCACTTGCAACCGTGACGATACCAACAAGTTCACCATCCTCATATAATGGGCTTTTGTTCACTAAAGCCATAAATGTTACCCCCGATCTCTTCCTGAAAGGAAACTGACCTGCCCAAGTTTGACCTGCCCTCACTCTTCCCATAATCTTCTCAGAAGATATATGAAACTCATCATAAATGAGCAAGTCCGTGACTGTTTGCCCAAGCGCTTCATAGTCCTCATAGCCAAAGAGTTTCTCAGCAGAACGGTTCCTAAAACATGATTATCTTCATTAGATGTATACACATCATTAAACTATTACAACCATTTCGGGAGCGTATATGTGGAACCCCATCAGATTACTCTCCAAAAGAGCCCTTAAAGAGAGAAGGAATGTTCCAGCGTATATACAGGGATAAATGGTCGAAGTCTAGCCGATTTGAGACTCTAACACTCCCCCTCCAATGGAGGCTAAGCAGGCACAAATTGTCACAGAGTGTTGAGAGGGGACTACACGAGTACAGGTTGCCCCAAAGTGTTTGAGTCCCTAGAGGGTTAGACCTTGGTGCCGATATCATGTGAGAACATGTGGAACCACATTAGATTAATTTCCAAAAGAGTCATTGAGAGAAAGGGGTTCCAACATGTATCAAAGAGAAAGAATCCAAGTCTAGTGACGGGGACTCTTAAGATATTACAACCATTCAAACATAAAAAAAATGGATAGTCACAATCAACTACAAGAATGTAATAAGATAGATATTAATGAAGCTAACTAACAATTTTGAAACATCAACCAAAATTGCCTTTGAAAAGACTATGTTTGAATTTTCAAAGTCAAAAGTTAAGAGGCCTATCAGATGGTACCTGTGATTTGAGAAAAGAAGGGATCACTAATTGACTTGCATCTTTACAACTATTTTATGGTTCAGAAAATTAGTCTCATTATGGAACTCAAGAAGATATATCCGTGAGCCCCTGACTCATAATTGTAGATATAAAGTGATCCAAACCAATAAATCATGCTAGTTTTGTTTGAAATTTCGAAGACATAATTCGCTTACATTAGAAAACACTTATTACAGCTACCATAAACATAAAGAAATATGTTGCTTCAGATGTTAATACTTTGATCGAACACTTGGAAGGCATTACTCATCAACCCAATACATACTTACCATGATAACACAAATTAGATAGCAAACTTCGGGTCATTTACTTTAACATTGTGACACCAAATTTGATGAAAAATTAAGGTGACACACAAACATAATTTACTAAATTATTTCCCAAACAATCGAGTTGTAAGATCATGACAACTTTGTAATTCCTACATGTTAAAACCAGTCCAATGTAATTCGAAATCCTTAAAGAAACTTAAAAAACGTGAAACTGATTCAACTAAATATCATAAAAATTCGAAAATGCTAACCAGTAAATGATCTCTCGAGTGATAGATTTGCTCACATAAACTGCATGACCTAATTGATCCAACGCTCTCTTGTACGAAAATCCCACCGGTAAAACATCCGGTACACCACTGATCCAATTGGAGAATGACGACACGCCGGATCGTGAAGGCATCGTATCTTCCTGCAGTAACTTTCGATTATTGTAGGATGAATTGTGTTCTTGCTCGAGGATGTGGAATTGCTCCTGTAGGTTAGAGTAACTCGCCTCTAAGCTCCGGCAACGATCGAGAAGAAGTTGGTAAATTGACGAATCATCACCGCCGGTGGTAGCATCCGCCGGAGAGTAGCCAGCGTTAATGGTTGACAGAGCCATATGGAGTCGCTTCCTGGTATGGCTTCCATTGACGAGAATTCAAATGCATATATGCTCAAAGTTGATGTAAGAACCGCCATTTGAGATAAACAGAGCCAGCAAAATAATTTACTGTCAGCACCCCTCATCTTTGATTAATTTTCATAATTTCCCCTTTACTTTTGAGGTAATACAAAAACCATCCCTCACTTATCCTTCAACTTGCACTTTCCATCCCACTACATTTTAATTTTACAATTCTTTTAGATAGAGGTGTGTATGGTTCGCTTATGGTACAAAATAATTAATGTATTGATTCTGGGCTATCTGCAAAGCAGGTGATTACCCTGAGATTAGTCGGCTCACATAACAGGTTGGATACTTAGGTTAATCAAAAAATAATAATAATTAATGTTATATAAAATAAAATTTGATTGTGGCGTGTAGCTCAGTTGGCAAAGAGGTGCAGTGATTTTGTCCAAATACAAGACAGGTTCCCGGTTCAACCCACCCTTCCTCGCTAATTGTAAGTATACGAGATATTTTGTGCGGCCACAATATATATCATTTAAATAATAATTGCGGTGGTTTGCAAGGTGCGTATTAAAAGTTGTGACATGATCTACTGATCAACTTTCTCGAGGTACACGGATTTTTATTTACATGTTCGGTTGTGTATGTTACGTTCAGGTGTACATTCAAAAAATGATGCATTTGTCATCATAGATTCATTACGTCATATTTGACTAACTTTGTAACTACTTCGGTTTCTGCAAGACAAATATCTTGGCTTCGTAAATTGGTTCATAGACATCGCAACCCGTTATTACATGGTCGGTGTCGGGTTGTGAACTTGTGCGAAACCTGGTATTAACCGTTCGATGTAGAAATTTGTATATAACACCCATTATTTCTTCAAACATATCTAAATACACAGAAAAATTTTCAAAATGTAACAAAGTTCGGATTAGTTTATATTAAAGTAACGAATAATTTTTTGCGTGATCAATGTAGCAGATATTTAACATTTGCTATGTATCCATTATGATTGATAACCTACTGATTTTGTAACGTTCAGTAAAGTGGATGTCAAGTTGTCAATTTTATTGTGAAACGGTTGCGTGGATTACGAGAAAATATTATCGGTTTATTATTATTTTATGTTAAAAACTCGAGATTTTTAATTTCGAGGTTTTACATACATGTAGGTTGAAAGTCGTTTTAATAATTAAATGTGTGCAAAATAGGGATGACGGAAAGTTTGCTACATTGCTTGAAAAAAATCATTCGTTACAGTAAAGGGTCGTATACTGAATGCTAACGGGGTAAACGCTTACCGAGTATGAGTCACCACTCTTACCTTACAAGGGTGGTGCCTGATTGGTTTGAGCTTGGCTCCAAAGGTCAAAAGTACCAGGAGGTCTCGGGTTCAAATCCAATGAGGAATAAAAATCCCCTTGTGGCCATGGAGGTTCATATGCGGTGACTCCAGGTTATCTGCAAAACAGGTGGTCGCCCTGGAATTAGTCGGCTCGCATAATGGGTTGGATATTCAGGTTCTTTGATGTTCAGTCAGTAAGGTAAGTGATATAGTAAGTGTTTAACTGGTTAACGTTCGGTAAATGATCCCTAAGTAAGAAGTAAATCAAACTTTCTTGCATTTGACCATATGTATATCAGACAGGGGATTGTGTGAGAACAATTGTTATAGAGAGAAGGTGAGAATATTTTTGAGCCTTTGGATGAGTTGACTTTTTAATCTAACTTAATTTCTTTCAACTAGTTTCAGTATCTTCAACTAAATTCGTCTTACCCACTAAGTGAGGGGACGACTCTTATCATGGTTAACGTTTACCGGGTATATTGTTGCATACAATGTCGTTTTGTTGGACTAAAATCATTAGTCCATAACATTTTATAAATTCATGAAACTGTGAATATATGATTAGATAAATCTATAAAAGTGTAATATCTAAAGCTAAAAGTATAAAAAACATTAAAAAAACTAAAAAAAAACCACGTTTTATAAAAAATATTCGTCACGACATGCCACGGCATAAGTCACGTCTTACAGAAACGCTATGGGGCCGTTTTCGCAACGACAGAGACGCGTCTTGCACCATGGTGCATGCCATGACACATTTTTTTAATACTGCAGGTAAATAAGTGATAATGTTGAATTTTACCGTCAAGTGTTTACCGGAAAATATTTAATAAACGACTCAGTATTCTTACTGAAACCCAACCCATGTATACCATACATTCATACGTGCCAATGACGTTCGCTTGATCATGACAAACACTTGGAAAAAGGTATGAAGATGTAATTTTCGATGTAAAGGGGGTTGAAACGTAAGAAATGAAAGTAAATGGTGGTAAAATGTGTTATTGAGGAAAAGAAGAGGGGGAAGATTGAAAATTGGGAGAGTTAGCACAGAAATTGTTGGATATAGAAACGTGAAAGTCACGTGACACATGGAAGTTGCCGAAGAGCAATGCTAATGGAAGGATGGCATGTGGAGTAGAAACAAGACTTTCTATTTTTGACGAACCCACCAGCAGCCCAACTTGTGGAAAGAGGAAAACAATCCGCCGTTTACTTTCTATTTTTGTTCAACGATCACAACATAACCACGTTTCACATTTTATTAATCTATACTATATTATATTATAAAAGTATTTGATAAAAAAATTTAAAAATCATTTTTTATGTATAAAATATTATTTATTAATGCATATTACTTAAAACTTAAGATTACAAGTATATTGTGCGTAAGTACAACTTATTAAAGCTCCATATCTGAATTTGTGTAACTAACTGCAGATAAATATAATCAAATACAGGATAAACATATCATTTTAAATATAAAAAATCTAAAATATAATTAAGATAGTTATTGAGTTTTAACATAATACTTAATTATTATCTATTAATTTTTTTATATTATTTAACCAAAAATAAATTATTTCGTTATTAAACTTAAATTAAATTATAATAAAAAATAAATTAAAGAAATTACATAAAAATGAGAACTTTTAAATAATTGATTTAATATTAACATTGATATATTTTTTCAAATTTTTATGGTATCTTCAAATTTATATTTTATTCAAAAATAAAATCATTAATGTTTTCATAAAAACACATAAAATCGTACTATAACATAAACATAAACAAATAATAAAATAGAACATTAAAACCGAGATGTGTCTCGCTGCATTGCACGAGTACTCTTCTAGTTTAATTATAAATAAATGTGAAATTTTAATTTTATGATAAATTAAAAATATGGTTAGATTCTGATGAAAAATGAAAGTTACGATGAGAAGTGTAAGAAATGATATTTACTTCAGTGGTAGATCTAGAAAAAATTATAATATGAGTCATAATATATATACTATATTATAAAACATTTGACAAAAACTTTTAAAAACTATTTTTTATGCATGAAGTACTGTTTATTGATGCATGTTACTTAAAATTCAAGATTACAAACAATTTTACGTAAATACAACTTATTAAAGCTCTATTTTTTTTAATTTGTGTAACTAACTGTAGATAAACATAATCACATACAAGATAAACATACATTTTAAATATAGAAAATCTAAAATATAATTAAGATAATCATTTAGTTCTGTAAGAATGTTCAATTGTTGTTTTTATAAAAAATTACATTATTAAATCAAAAATAAATTACTTTGTTATTAAATCTAAATTAAATTATAATAAAAAGTTAAATTAAAGAAATTACACAAAAAAAAAAAACTACTAAATAGTTAATTTTGATACTAATGTCGATTTATTTTTTAAAATTTTTATGTTATTTTTTCAAAATGTATATTTTATTCAAAAATAAAAAGATTATCATTTTCTCAAAATCACATAAAATCGTATTATATCGATAGAAACAAATAATAAAACTAAATGTCAAAAATCTTACCCGATATAAATGCTTATATGGTAATTTTCCTTACCGGATAAACATGACAAATGTCAAAAAATCTTATCCGGTAAGAGCAATGATAAAGATAAATAGTCTTACTCGGTAAGTGAATGTGAAGACTATTATTACCCGGGTAAGTGCTTACCGGATAAATTGTTGCATACGATACCATTTTAATGTACTACAATCTTATAAAGTAAAATAAATTATAGTGTTGATTCCTAACATTAAACGCTTACCGAGTAAGCATTCAGGTAACCGACCCCTTAATATCATAACAAATTCTAAAAATTTAGCCATAAATCTTGACTTGGCATGGGAAAACCTTTACATATTCTTTAAGAGTAAATTGTGAATTTTGTCTCTATGGTTATATGAAAAATATTAAGGATTAGGTACCAAAACGAATAAGAGATGCTGAAGTTTGATTTCACTTCAGATTTATAAGAGGTGGTGCTGAAATACGAAATCTAGATCAGTAAAACTGTTTGTTTTTACGTCTGAAATCTGAATCGATCAAATTAGTGCAAAAATATAAAAGACAAATAGTTTTTTTTTACATAAATACAAATGATAAATATTTTTTGCTAACGAATCTCTTTCAACCCCCAAAATATGAACAATTTAATAAAGGTCGGATTAGGATTAAGAGGTATTAAGTAATACATTTACCACTTAAAATTTCAGATAACATTTAGAGCTTTTAAGCTCTTATTTATAAAAAAAACAAACGCTTTTAATACCCAAACATCTGATCGAATTAGACTTTAGAGGTATTAAGAGACAATTTTAAAAAACATACAGGCCCTTAATGTGGTTTCAGTTTTGTTATGGACGAATCCATGTCTTTAACTCCATAATTTTGCTCCGTTAAGTCATGAACCTTTTAATTATTTACATTTTCTTTCATTTGTTTTGAAAAATACGAATACTGTATAATTTGTATACTACCTGTTATTTATTTACTGAAACACAAACACACACACAAATTCTTCCTATGCGGGCTAACCGTACCTAGGATATCCCACGACCACGTTACCATCCCTTTTTTCTTCAGTCTACCTCTCTCCCGTCCCTTCACTACCACATCAATGTTCCTTTTTCCAGATTCGTAATTCGAAGATCGAGGGGGAATGGGACGAAACTAGTCAACAACGACACTATATGCATATCTGCAAAAAAAACAGGTAAAATAACCAGATATAGATTGAGATTCCATTGACAAAGGTTTTTTTTTTCTTTTTCTTTGAAAATGCGTTAGAATTTGGTGGGTTTGTAACAATGAAATGAGTTTCAAAACGGGTTCCATATTTTGTTTTTCAATTTTTTTTTTCTGATTAACCTGGATATCATATCCGTTATGCGAGCCGATTAATCCCAGAGCAACCATCTGTTTTGCGGGTAGCCCGAAGTCACCGCATTTGAACTTGCATGGCCACAAGAGATTTTTATTCCTCCTTGGATTTAAACTTGAGACCTCCAGACACTTTTAACCTTTGAAACTTAAACCCAAATCAATCAGACATCATCCTTATGATTTTGCTGGTGGGTGTGAGCAAAGATGAAATGGGTTCCCATTTTTGGTCTTCAAAAATGGATTACAAATTTGGATCTTGAAGTATTTTTTTTCCTTCCTTCAATGCTTTAGGTTAATGTACCAATGACATCTAACATTTACATTAAAAAATTAATCAAATAAATATGTAAAATTACATTAATGCCCCTTGCATGAGAAGCACATGGAGAATTTAATGAACATACTTTTAACTGTGTTGGCAGGATCGGTCACAAGATTTTTGATGCTCTGTACAAAAATAATAAAAAATGCCTTTAAACATATTTTTTAAGTCAATGAAACAACGAAACATGCGATTTTTTAAAGAGTTTATAACCTATTCAAGCTAAGTATCTCATCTTGATGTTGATTTTTATTAATTATAATTAAAAAAATACAATGGAGGGGACATAAAAACCAAAACCCCAAATACAAAATATAAAATGATAAATCTTTGATTAAGATCGTGTTTCCTTCTTTTCCAGTTTTCTCTTTTCTAAATTGAAATTAGCAAAATATAAATTTTATTTCAATATATAGAACTTAAAAGACAAGGAAAACTATAATTAGTTCTTAACTAAGATAGTAAATTACATCTAAATTGTTGTAATAGTAAGCAAAAAGTAAAACTTAAAAGTTACAGGTCTAACGACTAAAGGCTAAGCGTTTATCTGTTAGCAGCTTAATAAGTTTAATGGAACTAACAGCTTATTCACTCAACTATGCATGACTGTTTCTTAGTAGCTTAATGATATAGAAAGTGACTTATCCAGAAGCTTCTAGGGAGAGCTTTATAGAAAGCCAAAAAAAAAAAAATTCCAAATATGTCCCTTCCAACTACAAAAACGCTCCTTACATCTGTGATAAAACTCTCTCAAACAAAAACTTTTCCAACTTATACAAACAACTTTATTCACACCGACAACTTTATACAAACAAAAAAATTTCCAACTTTTTCCAACAATGTGCGTTCAATATTCATCACTATTAGCCCTTGGGTCTGTTTTCATAGTTAAAGCTCGGATGTCCAATTCTTAAATTATTAAACTCAAAACTAGTAATAAATAACAATTTGATGCCCCTTTAGGCTTCGATGCCTTGTGCGGTCGCACGGGCTGCACGTGGCCAGGGATGACCCTGTGAGTTGGGTAAGAACCCAACCCCTAATAAAAATAAAACCATAACGATCACTGTGTAATTGTAATCCATAATTTCCATATAATCACGAGGATAAATTTGTAATTTACTTTTTTTTAAAAGTATATTTACGAAAATAGACAGTTTTAGAATATATCGTTCAATAAATATTTTATACATTGTAACTCCTTAAATATATTTTTTGAAAATATATTTTTTGAAAATATATTTCAGAAAATAATAATTTAATGAAAAACAATTTTCTATGTCATTTTCCCTATATATATATATATATACTAGTTGTCTACCCGCGCAATGCGGCAGGATGTAAAAAGTTCATTAAGGGTGCGTTTGGTATGCAGATTACATGAGACAAAGACGGGTAAAAATCATCATCATTCACTCCTACTTTAATTCCTTCTGCTGGTGTTTCATCGAGATTCTTCAATTCCCTAGCAAGTAGCTTGATTACATTTGGAGGAAGATTCTCATTCGTAGC